TTGCTTGTAATTTGTTTCGAACTTATCGATGTGTTTATGTTTCGTCGTGTAATGTCAGACTTCGACATGTCATGTCTTTAGGTCTCGTGATGTAACGTTAGACTAAGGCACCTAGTGTCTTTAGGTATGCTGATGTAATGTCGGACTTCGACACGTAATGTTATGTTATGTTATGTTATATTATCGAACTCTACATATATGTTAAATTGCACGTCATCGTTATGTACCCTTAGTAACGTTTGCTATATTTAAATAGCCTCCATAATTATTCTCATGATTTTATTACTATTTTATAATTTTACAAGTTATCTTTTGTTTGACATTACTACTTTTTGAATTGTTCTAACACGAAACATTATATTTTTCAGAGATGGCACGTCAGGATACACCTCAATTGTTGGACCCGGCGATAGATCACCGACACCAGTCTCACCTTACTGCGGTGCAGGGGGCTCAGCTTGGGACGTTCCGGGCACGGACGTGCGGTGAGCTACTTATGGTTCACGACTCCTTTGTCGAGAGGTACGAAAAGTGTATTACTATAAATTAGTTGCGTTGTAATAATTTTTATATTGACATATTAATTTGTTATTGCAGGCTGCGTGAGGCCGGCCTCCTACCGATGTGTCGGCTGGTGGAGGCTGCCGCCGGCGATGCGGACCCGGCCAGACGATGGACTGTGGACCGGTCCCTCCTAGCAGCTTTGGTCGACCGATGGAGACCAGAGACGCACACTTTTCACTTGCCGTGCGGTGAGGTAGCCCCTATCCTACAGGACGTATCGTACTTGTTGGGGCTACCACTCGCGGGAGACGATGTTGGGCCAGTGACCACGGGTGTGGACTGGCAGGACGATCTGACAGCACGTTTCGCACTAGTACAGCGCGCACCGCATCTCCCGCTCGAGCCGTTGGCACACCACCGCAACACCGGACCTATGAAGAGGTGGCTGCTTCAGTTCTCCGTGAGTGTTTTTGTACCGAAATGACAAGCGTACTACATATTTTGTCCACAGTTAAGGTGCCTAACATTTTATCGAACACTTGCAGATTGAGCAGCTACAGGCGGAGGCCGACGAGTACTCCTACAGCCGCTGTTTGGAGGCGTACTTGCTCTGGCTTTTTGGCTGGGTGATGTTCTGTGGCGGTCACGGGCACGCGGTCGATAAGGGACTCGTGCACTACGCCAGGAGCATCGCCGACGCCGCGGTAGGCGAGGTGCCTCAGTGGAGCTGGGGTTCCGCGTTGTTGGCGGCTCTGTACCGTGGCCTTTGTGAGGCTTGCACGAAGACGGATCCCAGCGCGACCTTTGGTGGGTGCCCTCTCTTTCTTTCTATCTGGGCAGCTGAGAGGATTGCGATCGGCCGCCCTGAGGTGGACCAGCACGCGTATGAGGTGTCACTGTACGCGGAGCGACCAGAGGTCGACTACCCTACGATGGGTACTCTGTGGTGCCATCGTCGGATACGTTGCATCGATCTTCTCGTATTGTTAAGTTAATTGCTAAGTTCATTGTACATCACATCGATCGTCTCGTATTGCAGCGCCGATGGGCTCACGTCCAGGTTAGGCGGTCGTATCCTGAGTTTGTTATGGAGTTCGACCGCCTTCTGCCGACTGACGTCGTGTGGGAGCCCTACAGTGCCGCGGCTACCCAGCCCCAGGCGCCGTTGGGTCTGTCCACACTCTGCACCAGGGACCAGGCGTACTGGATGACTACGGTTCCGATGGTCTACGACATCTGCGTTGAGCCTCACGCACCTTTCCGCGTGATGCGGCAGTTCGGCTTCCGTCAGCCCTTTCCAGTACCGTTTCCGACGACCGTCCCAGCTGCTGTTCACCGGTAAGATCTTTCACTACGCTTTCAGTTGTTGCATTAAAATCTACCTGTCCGCAATAATTTGCAACATCTGTCGATTCACACTAATATGACACATTAATTCGCAGTTACTCACGCAAGGGTCAGCAGTCAGCTGGCGACTGGCCCGCCAAGTTAGCGACTTTTGTTGAGGACTGGTTGCTCGCAACCGAGGAGGTCGTGGACCACGAGGGAGAGCCACACACTGAGGAGGCGTACCAGGCCTACCTACGCTGGTACCAGCCACGCACCCGTACTAGGGTCACCTTCGCTCCCTTGGAGCAGCAGCCCCACGTTGCGAGCACTAGAGACCTCTACGCCAGGCACCGCGACCAGGACTTCGCTCGTGCTGTGAGTACCATGCATCGCACCATTCCTTTATGTTTTCATATCTTTCTCTTCGTCAAATTTTACGAATATGTACGAAAAAATTAACCATGCAGGTCGACGACATCAACCGGGTCGTCATTGACGGTTCAACGACGATCCAACGTTTAGGCGCGGGGATTCCGGTACCCGTAGAGGAGCACCTGACGACGTACACGCGGATGGTGGAGTCGATGCGCTCGATTCTCCGAGTGCTCACCTGTCGTGCAGACAACGTTACTCGGGCAGACGCAGCTGTACAGCGGCCACCCGTACCGACTGGTCCCCGTCCAACTGCGCACGTTCCTAGGCCGACTCCCCCTCCGCACGGAGGTAAGTATTTTTAAGGATTTTTCTATACATGCCTCGCACATATATGTGAGCCGTTTCACTTGCCGATTGCTTCAGGGTTTCGTGCACCGTTCAGCACCCTGCCTTCCTCGGCTAGGCCTTCTGTTGTGCCCCCCATAGGTACCTAAAAATAACAACATTACTTCGACAATCAATTTATATGCATTTTATGTCTTAGCTTACAAGGGTCCCGTTGTCGATGTGTAGGTTTCGCCCAGTTCGCTATGACGCAGGCCGCCCACTTCTCCCAGGCTGCAGGGTCAGCGTCTCAGGCAGCTGCGTCGACCTCGCACTCAGCGCAGTTCTGGCAGTACACCGGGACTTCGTCATAGGCAGCCGGCACGTCGAGTCAGGGTCCACCACTGGACCATGCTGGGACCTCGTCGGACCGCTTGCTGCCTTCCACCTTGCTCTTCGACATCACTGACTTCGACTTCGCTTCAGGCTCGACAGAGGATGTCATCGGCCCCTCACAGCTGGGAGGCGCACCGCTGGTGCAGACACAGGACCAGGCGCAGGCCACTCCGCCGCCAGACACTCGTGCTACCCGTGCTGTGCCACCGGATCGTTTCACCTACTCCCAGGACCACGTGCGAGCACAGGCCCGGAGGACCAAGCGTGGTCGCGGCGTAGGGCAGGGCCAGTAGAGCAGTCTTCTCTTTGTTTATTTGCTTCACTTTCCAGTATTGTATGCTTGTATAATGACTACGTTGTTGTTATATGTGCACGATACCTTTCGGCGCATGCACGATACCTTTCAGCGCATGCACGACTACTTTCTGCCGCACCGATGCAGCCTCCTTTATTCGCGTGCGATACAAGTATTTGCCCGCCATTTGCCGCATACGACCAATGTAACATTCGGCGCCGATCAGGCATGTAACTTTCGGCGCCAATTAGGCGTACCCACTATGCCCCGCCACGTTCACGCCGAGGTGTTGAGGATCCGAACTGGCGTAGCGATACTTGTGTATACCTACTACCACCTTGGTGCCAGCGTCCTCTCTGCCTATGCGGTGATCGATGCCAACTAATGGCTTCGAGGAATCCTGATATTCGAGGAAGGCGCTTTTTTAGGTGCCCTAACTATGACCATGAGGTATTTTATTATATGTATATGCTTATTCATTCCGTATGGGCAATCGCTTTATTCTTCGTAACACTACTCTATTCGGCAGACCCGCACTACAGCTTGCGCATACATCGAGTGGGTCGATACAGAAAATCCCGTTCTCGACCTAACCACTTGTTTACAAGAAGGTCGCTGGTATTTCGCATCCGAAAGTACTGAGCAATACTTACGGAGAAAAGCGGCTTATGAACGACAATGTCGTGAACAACAGAGCGACTGGCGGGTGCTAACTACGGCACTCCCTCCATGGGAAGCCCGTCCAAGATGCAGGTGTGGTGATCGTTATCAGGTTCTTCGTTCCATAAAGCCTACAACATTGGGTCGAACGTTCTTTGTTTGTCCAAATATTCTTGACGACGATTTCATGGTAAGAATATTTTGATTACATGAATCCTTATTTTCTCACAACATTTACTAACTTTGCTCGCTTTACATCTATTCTTTCCTCTTAGGAACCACCAAGGAGATGTCAATACAAAGAATGGATAGACACCAGAAGGATTCTAACTCCACCTAGCCGTGTCGTGCAGCTTGAACTACCAGAGCAATACAGGGTTACTAAAGCGCGTTTTGAGAGAGGAGAGGGATCCTCACGTAGCGGTTAGCTATTATCGGACAACTTGGCATATTGAAATTTCTACTGTCATGCTTCCTTGTCCCATTACTACATCGTCGTTGTGTTCAACTATTGCACTACCTCCCTCCTAGTTCGAATCTAATATCATCTATGTAACCGCAATGGAAATAGTTGTATCATGTTCAAATTGTACTACTATTTCTTCATGTTACATAATTCTCCTTGTTTAAGTCCATATAATGTTTCTACGACCGAGACTGCGATAGGCCTATTAATTATTATCCGAGTACTAATACGTCGAATAAGTTACAAAATAATACCTTACTTAACATATGAAATTGCGAAACAACCAACTTCAATACATTTTTATAACAATATTAACAACTTTTACCAATAAATACTTCTTTATTTATTATTAACATAACATAGAAAAATCGTTTGGCCGTACTTTTTGCATCTGGGTCCCTTGGGCCCAAATGCAAAAAGTACGAGCACAACCTCTTTATGGGCGGCAAAAATTGCAATTAGCCCATTGCCGCCCATTGGGGATAATTGCAATTTTGGCCGACGGCGGTAGACGGCGCGGTCGATCCGCCGTCTGCCACGTCAGCTTGCCGCCCACCACTGGGGCGGCAGGGTCTATTTTTGCAAAAATTTTTTGCCGATAGATTATTTCGGTAAATATTAAAAAAATCTAAAAAATGAAAAAAATTCTCTCCTCGAATGCGACGGACCGGGCCGCATGAGACGAAACCGATCGAAGCTACTGGGCGCCATCAATGGCTTCTACGCGGCGGCGCTGGACCGGCTTCCCGTGGAGGCGATGCCGGCGCTGCTCCCGCGCCTCCTCAAGGCCGGCCTCTGCGTCGGCTTCCTGGACCCCGTCTCCAACATCGTCGTCAACACCATCACCTACAAGAAGCGCGTCCCGGTGGTCGCCGGCGGCGATCCCGACGGCAAGTCGGCGGCGATCCCGACGCGGCGGCGGCGGCGGAAGGCGCTCTCCCGGATCGTCGCCGACACCAGCAACGTCGGCGGCTGCGGTCCGAGCCACCGCCTCCTCCGCGACATGGGCGTCGCCGCGCGGTCGCTCCAGGCGCTCGTCGCCTTCCTCACCAACTACTTCCCCTACCTCCACACCTGTGAGGCGCTGGAGTATCTCCGGCTGGCCGACGCCGACCTCTCCGTCGCCGTGCGGCTCATCGAGCAGGACCGCAGCTCTGACGCCTTCAGCTTCGCCTCGCTGACCACCGAGACAGCCCTCACTTGCGCCGCCATTGCTGGGTGGCACCCAAACCCCAAATCCCTTGTCGAGAGGTTGTATTCCATCGCTTCTCAGATTGGGGAGGCTTCCAATCTCCTAAGCATGGAAGGTTGCCTCTCGTGCAGAGCCGTCAAGAACATCAGCAGATTGGTGAAGCACCAGCAACAAGAACCAGTGGACCTTGTTGGAGCTACCTTTCTTCCTCGGTCACTTGAGATTAAGGAGAAGCAGCCGCCGTTTGTGCGGATGAAATCATTGAAGAGCATCCTGCTTGACAAGATCTATGGATTGTACCTTGATGTTATTGCCTGCCTGCCGATGGATGGCTTGCGAATGCGCTACCACAGGGGGCTCCTCAAGGCCGGCCACTGCTATGGCCCCTTTGAGAACCCTGTGCACAACATTGTCCTCAACACAGTTTGGTATGAGACCATGTTTCCACCACAAGAGGAGGTTTCAGTGCAGATGACATGCTCAAGAAGCCTTGTTCGTGTCGCGTGCCGCTCCCTCAATGCTCTTGTTGCATACCTCCGCGCTTGCTTTTGCACAATCTCTGAACAGCAGGCTATGCGTTACCTGTTCTTGACGGGCGCCAATCTTTGGGGAGCGGTTGAAATGGCAAGGCAAGAATGCCATGCTGAGAGAAACATGTTGGGCCTAGACCTTGCTTGCATGGTTGCAGCCACCGCAGCACATCATCCTGATCCTGATGCACTAGTGAAGTTTTTCATGTCAACCTTTTCCATGAAGCCCCTTCCCCTGCAGACAGATCCATTTATGTTTCAAACTGGTGGGATTTTAAATGTGCAGCTCCTCGTGCACAATCTGATGCGATTCTGCCCCTCTTCCTGTGGTTCAGTTCAGACAGTTCCTGTACTCTCTGAGAGGGCCTCCATGACTTTGTCGTGCATTCAGGAAGAGTTCAAGGCTGAGCAAAGTTTTATTTGTGGGAAGGTTAATGATGCACTGAAGAAATACAACCAGAGGACTAGGGTATGTCCGTTCACCCCTTCAGTTTTCGACCATTACCAAAAATGTCAATATCAAGATTATCTAATTCACTTGTATAAACTTCTGAATCATAGGGACTTGAGTATGAGCTACATGTTATCTGTGGCTTGAATTCACACATAGTTAATTATACTATGTTTGGCCGACATTATGGACCTGGATATAGCCGGCATCGATCCAAATCTCAGTATTCTCACGTCAACTTTTTGGCGAGCCCAAGAGATTTGCATTCTTCTCAGACAGTCCCCATACTTTTTTTTGCTGAGTGCTGCAACAAGGAAGGCGTGATCGATGAACTGACCTGCTGTCCAGTCATGGGGCATCCTGGTACACTCTCCTTCCATTTGAGTATTGCTACATCATATGATGTTAGCGTGTTACAGATGTTTCTTTATTCTATGTGTTGAGTTTCACCATGGCGTTGTGAAATCGACTGAAAAGATTTTCATTACGCTGCAGAACTTGACTTGAAAAGAACAAAAAGGACATACATGTGTTGATTTGCATGGTTTCTTTTTTTTAATTAAAAGAGATGCCACAGAAATTAATTCAATCAAACTTCCAAGATTGTTTGGTGGGGTCATGCCTAGAATTGTTCAAACCAAGCAATGTTTTTGGAAGTAGAATTCTGCTGTTTGCTCCAAAATGTTAGTAACAACTAAAACGTGAATCTATGTTTAATCTCAGACATTGTCTGAGGTGATATAAATCAATTTGCTTGATCATTTAGTGCTAACAATGGTGTCAGTACAGAACTACAGATTGACCATGATGAGCAACTCCATGACTGTATCGCCTTGACAGTTTCCAACGATGGCACTAACTAATTCATACTCAGTCCTTGTCTCCTTAACATCATTGTCATATAAAAAACATTGTGAAATACAGCACAATTTCCATTGATCATTTCCTCTAATAACAAAGTTAGTTAGCTTCATCCACATTCAAAACATTTATCCTTATCTTTACATGTGTATACCTTTACTGCTTTGCTAAATGCTGCTGTCACTGATGTATCCTTATCTTCTGCAAGCTATGATATAGTATTTTTTTTTCTTCCTCTATTACGATAACTGATTGCCATTTTTTCCCTTGTTTATTTTTGTTAAAAGGTCGTTGTTATCATTGTGAGTGTGAAGGGGCTAAGATTGTCCATCCAGATCTAGAGAAGTACAATGGCCGCACTGACTTTCTGGAAATGGCTCGCGATAAATCAAGTGGCACGACAACTGAAGATGTTATCTCTCGTTGCGAGTATCTTCATGATGCTGTGGATATATGTGAGGAGGATTGCGTCTGTTTTGATGCCAGTTGGGATGTCGAGTGTGCAGAGTTCTTGAATTCCCGTGCTGCTAACAAGATTAGACTGGAGTAGTACTAACACAGGAGTATTCTCTGTAATACCTATACGCAGTCATGAGTCATGGAGTCGAACAATATATCTACTACTCCCTCCGTCCTATAATATAAGAGATTTTGAGTTTTTACTTGCACTGTTTGATCACTCGTCTTATTCAAAAAATTTTGGAATTATTATTTATTTTTTTTAAATTACTTTATTATCCAAAGTACTTTAAGCACAACTTTTCGTTCTTTATATTTGCACAAATTTTTTGAATAAGACGAGTGGTCAAACAATGTAAGCAAAAACTTAAAATCTCTTATATTATGGGACGGGGGTAGTAGATCACTAGAAACCTTGCATATGTCATCTTCATCTATATTATTAATTTGTACCGATGTGGCGAAATGAAAAGGCACTGGTCTTGTAATTTTGTTATGGATGGAATATTAGGTCTCAAAAACAACATCAGCAGCTAGTACAAGCGCAAAAATGCTTCAAGAAAGAAGTATAAATATACACAAACAAAACTCTATGCTAATTAGACTGAACATTTTGGTTCAGTAAAAAAGGACAGAGATGTAGAAAGTTGGCGTTGCCGTGTCCCGTGTCCGTAACAAAAACGCTGTAGGTTTTCGTTCTTCCACAGTTATTAGTCATAATAACCTCGTGTGTGCACTGCAGCCACGGACCCACGGTATCTAGGGCTCGCACGCACGCACGCACGCTACCTACTGGCACGTTTCGGCGTTAGCAACAGCCGCGCGGCGCAGCCGGAGAGCACGTGCAGAGAGATGGCCGTCAACTCCGGCGATCGCGCGCGCGCGCGCGGGCACCACGGAGACGACGACGAGGAGGGTGTGGCCGTCGTCGGCGAGGACTACCCCTACTGCTCTGACTCGGATTCCGACGACGACGACGACGTCGACCGCTACGTGTTCCTTGCACGCCAGCCCGCGCCGCCGGTGGACCGCGACGATGCCGAAGCCGACGCCGGGGCGGAAGGAACGGGTTGTTGCAAACGGAAGAGGCGCGTCGTCGACGACGACGACGATGATGACGGTTTCTCGCCGCGCCAGCCGGCGTTGCTGGATGGCAGCGGCGGCCAAGCGGCGGAGGAGGAGGAGGACGACGAGGGGAGCTCTGATGATGATGACGCAATGGCGCCGCGTGGGGAGGCAGGAGGCGGCGGCCGCGGCCGCGGGGTCGGGAAGGTATCACGCAAGAAGGCTCGACTCGTCGACCTGATCAGATCGCCATTGTTGCCGGCCGAGCTGGATGGTTCGGATAAGGCGGCGCCGCCACCTCCGCGCGGCGTGTGTCCCAAGAAGATCGCGGTGGTGGTGCAGGCGAAGAACAGGAAGCGCCGCAGGTTCGTCGACGGTGGCGAGGAGCAGGAGCCGCAGCCGCAGCCGCCGGTGCGCGGCAAGAGAAGCAGAGGCCCTGACCTCGAGGCGAGCGAGGGTTTGCAAACGGCTTCGGCGGCGGCGGCGGCGGCGGCGGCAGAGGCGGCGGAGAGAGCTTCCAAGCGCTTCGTCTGCAGCATATGCGGGAGGTGCTTCGGCAGCCACCAGGCGCTTGGCGGGCATGTCCTCGGCCACAAGAAGAAAGCCAAGAACGCCGCCATTGCCGCCGCAGCGCGCGACGCCACGACGACGGCGGTCACGGAGGCCGTGGCTCCAGCAAGCCAAAGGCAAAGCTTCTTCGCCGCCGACATCAACGGACAAGACGAGCGTGGATGCGATGGCGCCGAGGGCAGCCGCTACGACGACGACGAGGAGAAGAGCCCCGTCGTCGTTGACGACGTTGCAGCATGCCATGACGCGGACGTCGACGAAAGCCGCGGTCACGGTAAGGCCGAGTCGGCCTCTGCCATTGATGCCGGCGGGGACGCGGGCAACAACAAGGTCGCCCATGGTGACGGCGAGGAGAACGACAAGATCGCCGGCGTCGTCGTTGCATCAAGCCACGACGGCGATAGCGACGTGGGCAAGATGAAGATCGTGCAGCACAAGTGCGACGAGTGCGGCAAGGTGTGCCTCACGGGGCAGGCGCTTGGCGGGCACATGAGCAAGCACCGGCGGACGCGACCGGCGGCCAACGGCGGCGAGGGGCCTGCAACTGCAACGGTGGCGGACGGGGGAGCCCAAACTGTTCGGCTGATCGGCGACGATGTTTGCTTGCAGAGAGCGGTGGCAATCGCTGGGTTTCACTCGGCTCAGTAAAACTGTCACCGATGCATACGTTCCGATCGTAGTTGATCTCCATAATCCAATTACCTCCAAATTCTTCAGAAATATGCGGAAACAAAGATGTGGCAGATTTTGCAACAAATGCTTGGGGAATCTGCGGCAATCTGTGGCAGTTTTTTGAGCTACTGAATTTCAAAATAAACATTTTTTTCAAGAAAAATACCGTGTTAGTTACACACTGCATCGTTAAGTGGTTAACTACTACAAGCCATATTGTATTTCAGATTTAAGTGCTTTATATTTCTAGTGGTCTATGATATGTTCTAGGACAAAGTATAGAACGTGTCAACGTGACAGTAGGAGCGGCAACTCAAAAGGATGAACCAGAAGTGCAGAACATCAGCACAACGATAAAATGCTAGCAGAAAAGTAGGGGGTAAAGAAAATGGAGATCGACATCACGATGAACACAAATTTGACCAAACGAAATTTGCTCTGGCAAATGTCAGAGTGACTCTCTTTCCAGTAGCAATTTTACTCTTACATCTTGTATAACGCAATTGGCACAGCATATTCATCGGGCCAACATTTGCTGGATCCATGGAACTAGAGTTATATATATACACTGTGCAGTGATGGGATTTTCTACAATTCTATCCATCTATTAGAATAAACATACGATGTCATAGTGGCATCATCTTCTGTTTGGAAGTGGCTAATCAAAATGAAAAGCCTGGTAGCAAAATGGTTAACCAAAAAGAATGGTGTATACCAAAAAGAGAAAAAGAATTTTTCAACTAAATGCCACTTTTCTCTCTCAAAAAGAAAAACTAAAATGACAGCTTCTAATATTTTACACTAGTCCAAGAATAGTTGGTATGCTGATCTGCTGCTTAACAGGCCAATAACTTCTTAAGCTGCATAAAACACAACAGCAACTTCAAACTAAAGAATCGAGCTTCCAGTAAAATTTCCTCTAGCCATATCATTAGTTTATTCAGAATTGATCTACTACTCATCCTTTTAGCTTCCAAAACAGCCTCAGAAGAGATTCGTCCAATGATTACAAATGATTCCATTGAAGAACCTCCAACCTGACAAAGCATCATACGTGTAAACAGAGCCAAAAAAGGACCTATAATTAATTCTCGAATTTTTGTACAACTTGCTAGAGTGCCCCTTATACGATGCTGCATTGACCTTCTACAGAGAAGAACACGGATAAAGAGGGAATGAAGCCTAAAAGAAATAATACCTACTTTATAATGGCTTCGTGGGGTTCATTGCTTATAACCGCATAGGATATTAAACAATTCAAGCCAGTGCAACAACTATGATAAAACCCCGTAGCTATCCCATGCTTCCTTGTTATATCAATTATTTTCTTTTGCAGTACAACTTACGTCTTGATTATCAAAAGCATCAAGGGAAGTGACAAATGCAAGAAAGAAGATATTACTATGTGACAGCCTACATATTTATGGTCATGATTCCTTTTCACTTACCAGGGCATGATTGACGGAACGTAAACAATCATTTGTTTTAAGCATCAACAAGATGACCCTTGGCAGTCTCCTTAGAAGCTCTGAGATTTGTGGAAAATATAAGGAAGCATACATCTGTGACAAAGAAAAACATATCACGTAAGGACCTCAAAGTACATGATTTTCCACAGCTAGCCCAAAAAGAAAACCTTGACTAACATGTCCCAGTTCAATCATCTCATGAATTGAAGGTGCAAGGAGAAAAATATCATAAGAAGAATGAGGACGGGAATTGAAAATGAACAAAAAAAAAAGATGTAATGTTATACAAGCATGGCAATAGATAACAAAGTTTCCAAACATACTAGGAAAACATGAAAACTTAAAACCATCATATATATGGTAAATAGGTTTTAGATTGCAGATTAAAAAACAGCTAAATTGGTCCCCGATCTCTTTAGAGCAAGCTGGGCTGATAATCAGCAATTCCATATTACTTCGGTGGCCTTTTTTCCTACTATTGGAAAGATCAAAAGATTTGGAGCAGTGTTACTTTGAGCAACAATGAACAAAATAAAAAAGTGAGAAATGATTGAATTCCATTTCAAGTAGGAGGTGATACATGGATTACCCTAGAGTTACTGGTACTATTGGTTATTACTGAAGTTGCACAGTTACATATACTGTCAGTGTTCATGGAGTCATGGAGAACATTAATAATGCATAATATAAATCACCTGAAGTTCAGAACGATCATTACTACTGCCATCTAGAACAAGATGATCGACAGCCGGGTCAATCACACTTTTCCATGGCCTCATTGTGAGAACACCAGCAAAAAGTGCATGAAGATCCTCCCCAGCACCTAGTTTGACACTGTTCTCTTTAATTGATTTTTCATCAGCAAAAACAAGTGCCTGCATCAACAAATTTCATAAAGTTAGTAATGACTACTCAGTTGTGATCATAGAAAAAACTGCGATAACATTGTCAATTTGTCACCTTCCAAAGAGAAGCATAGCTTATCCTAGTGGCATAATCAAGTTCTTTGTAAAGACCATGATCAAGAAGAATCAATTGTGGCCTTCTCCATCCTACGTTCAAGTAAAAAAAATCATATAAGCGTAATAAACAAATGCAATAACTGACCTATCCAACAAATATAAGCTGCAATATGCATTGTTTCCACCTAGGATCTTAAGAAAACAATCATATTCTCATTTTCTCACAAAAAAATACACATGCCACATCTCACTTAACATATATATTACTGCAATGAAGATCATCACATGGTGAAGCTACCCCACCATGCGTGTTCAAGAAAAAAAAAGCTACCCCACCATGCATTTAAAAACTCATCTGCTCATCCAATGAGGCAATAACATGACAAAATACTGCCAGTATGCATTATTAAGATTATCATAGAAGCATTATTACTGGACAAGAGATCTCAGTCCCAGATACACTTCAGCGAAGATAAAAACTTTTCTGATGCTAGATGGCAAGATTCTCACCAAAAGTTTTTTTGCTATCTTGTGGCAAGGGTCGGATCATCATGTTTGCAGCATGAGGGTCGCAATGAACAAAACCATGCTTGAAAATCATCTCAGAAAATGCTTTACTGACCTACACAACTGTCAAGTGAGAGTCTGTAAAGAAGTTATTAGCACTTTATTTTTTTTCAAGAAACTGTACTGTGGTACTTACTAGATTTGAAACATCGACTGGGCGAATCCCAAGTTCTTTAATTCCTTTAACATCAGTTACCTCCTTGGCATCCATAAACTCCATTGTGAGAATTCTAGATGAGCTTAGAGTCCAATAGACCTTGGGGACATAAATACTCCCTGCAATGTGCGGAGACAATCTTCTAAAGTTTTGCACGCATTTTTCACTGTTTTTAGCTTCATTCAAGAAATCTAATTCCTGAAACCAAGAGAGGAAATCAGTACCAATCCAAATTGTGTAAATATGTTCCTTTACACTTGAGTATATTATAATTGTATAGAAAAAAATAAAAGTCAAGATCAACATGAAGACACCCAACTGGAAAATATGCTGCTGAGCATAAAATTCAGGATAAACACGAGAGATCCTACTGACAACAGGCCATGAGTCCATGACCATAAAATGGACTATAAAGTTATAAGATGACAACTCGTAAAGGCCAGAGATGCATTTACTAATTAACAAAAAGAAATGGTAGCAGAACATATTGAAAAGAAAAGTTAACAGCAGTAATGTTAAATTGCCAAGAAATATTAGAAAGGTACCTTAGGTGCACTTTCACGGATTTCATCGACTAACCACCTGCAAGGAACCAATTTTAATGGCATAAACTTTGATGCAAAACAGGATTTCCGTGGAAAAGTAGATTCACTAATTTTCAATGAAAGAACTATGGTCACATCAACATAATTGTGTACTGCAAATGCATAATTACACAAACGTGCCACTTGTGAGGAGCTCAATTCAACTGTCCAACAATGCAAAGGATTGTGTGTATTTGCCTCATTTACACTAAATGGAAATCATCATAACATGTGTCATGACCATTTGCAGTTATACAGCACCATAAAAAAAAATCTCTGAAGAAGTGGAAGGGACTGCATCTTTCAATGCAAATCCCTAAAGTAGTTATGGGGCTCTTTGCATGCCAAGGAACTGCTGTTGACTTGATTCAAAGTAATCACAGTCCTTTTGTTGGTTTCATATTTGAAAAACCGTTGATCCAACATTGCCAAGAGAAAATATTTCATTTATTTTGATGCCAGTCTATGATTTTTGTTGTAACATAAGCTTCCCAAGGAAAAAAAAAACGATCCAATCAAAGTAAGAACCATAATTCCAATGTAATGGGGCACTATTTTTAACTTACTAGACAGTAATAAAAATATATTATTCAACTCACATACTGTAGAATGTAGACATGTTTATCATTAAGAAACTATATTTGCATTGCTTATAGCAACTTTTAAATTTTGGAATTGTATGGATAGCATCAAACTCATCCTTCCTAAGCGCCCTAACTAAATAACAAGGGAGTTGAAAGATCAAAATCGATAATTCTAATCCTTAATCTTGAGCTGATACACCAACTATGCCAAACATCTTGTGTAACTATCCAAGATGATAATATCCTTTTATTGTGTTTGACCAACCCATTGATGATTTTTGCATAGGCATGCCGCTTCCCAATAAATCACCAAAAAAAAGCAGTGAGCCAGGAATTATCATGAACAGACAAGGATTGCAGAAACAAAATTTGCAACAGTAAACCCATAAAGATGTGGGACTTTGTTGGCTAGCAGTTTCCTACCAATGCATAATCATATAGTTCCCATAAAGAGGAGCTAAACTGGATCTAACCATAAGTTTTTGAGGTAGCATGCATGTCAATAAAAAGGAAACAATACAACCAAATTAGGAGGGGTACCTGTAGTCAAACGAAGGGAAAATATAATGAAGAGTGTTCACTATCAAACCCACGGTGGCAATATCTATAACAGAAGTATCTGTCAAGTGATCATGTTGAACCTGAGATTAAGATAGGAATGGAACATGTTAAAGGAAGACAGCATGCTGGACAAAATTCAAACTCTATAGTGCTAATGTAAGAGTCCCAAATAAAATATGAGAGTGTACTCGAGACAAATAACAGTGTTTCTCTAGATTGCAACCTTCACTGCAACTTTTTGCCCATCATGTGTTCTTGCCGCATGAACTTGAGCGAGAGAAGCACTTGCAAGTGGAACAGGATCGAATTCTACAAAAACCTACACATCAGGACAAAGAGAAAAAAAATCGTCAGATTTGCTTCCAAATTGACAAGCCCGTGCATAATCCAGCCCATAAACCCACTAATCTGTTTAAGCATCAATAGTCTGTGCCAGAATTGGACCAAGTTGTCATGTGAATTGTGAATTCAACGATCGTTATGCGCTTGAGCAGCAGCCTACATTCCCACAGCAAAGGTATAGAAGTGGTATTCAGACAGTAATGCAAGGAGGAGGATGGCAAGGAACTAACAGTTTCCGGTGATTCTCCCATATCTTTCCCAAACACTCGGCAAACTTGCTCGTATGATGACACCGGGCATCTCTTCAGCATCGACGCCCTCATCGTCTGCACGTACTCCTCCGGCACAACATACTCCTGGAACAAACAAACAAACAAACAACCAGCTCGACCTCAACTCCACGCAGCAACCAAAATTTCAGCAAAGACGTCACACGAATCAAAGGGAGGAGCCCGATTTCCCGTAGCACGAACCAGCTGGGCGATGTGCTGGCCGAGCTTGATGTAGATGCCGCCGTTGCGGAAGCAGAGCTCCTGGAGGCGGTTTGCGGAGCGGAGGTGGGCGTCGTGCTTGGCGCTGACCCAGGCCGGGGTGCCCGGGTCGAGGCCCCAGAGGGAGTACTGGTAGTCGAAGGCGATGGTGGCGGCGGTGGCGGCGTCGCGGAGGAGGCGCGGGGGCAGGTGCGCGCAGATCTTGAGGGTGGCGGAGGGGTCGTCGGAGTAGGCGATGGCGGCCCCGCCGGCGCCCGCGCCCAGGGCCAGCGCCGCCGTCGCCGCCCGCCGCCACATGGCCGTGGCTGGTTCCGGGGTCTCCGGACTCCGGGCGATTCGCCTCCCTGTGGTTTGGTGTCTCACAGCTTTGCTTCCTTTCTTCCGCCGCAAGATGGTTCGAGCGATGGGTCTCTGACGAGTTGGGCAGTTCACAGTTTTGGCTTGGGGTCCTGCTCCGCGGACGGAAATCGTGCGTTCGCGCGATCCGTCCGTTTGTACGGACATCACCAATTGGATGTGGCGGCAATTGTGTTTGTGACTCTTTTTTTCTATAAGAGTTGTCAAACGTCGTTTATTAGTTTGAACTGTGGGACATGCTTTTTTTTAAAAAAAAAAAGGAAAATTGGGGATACTATGGAGAAACTTAGCATTTTTTTTAGAAAAGGAAAAGTGGGATATTAAGGAGAAACTTAGCATTAATGATAAGAGAGAAAACATTTTGAGCAAAAAGTAACGGTTGAGGCCTTGGGGGAACTTGAACTTTGGCTAGCAAGAACACATGGTAACTCCTTTATTACCAGGCTATAATATTGTTTTTACCTGTAGGACATGTCTGGCGAATACTATAGGTTATGAAAAGTGGGATTAGAATATGAAAATGAATAGATAGTATTGGGATATATCCTTTGGTGGGTGGATATCATTTTTCAAACACATTTGCCAGAGTGGCCCTATAATTTTGTACTCCACTATCCTTTGTCAAGGTTATTTTTCCAAAAATAATTGAGTAACAGAGACATTAAATACTTTTTATCCTCCATTTCTGAAGAAAACGCTTGGACTAATGTTCATTAGTTCATCAAATTGGACTAGTACATTTTTTTCATCTTATTTGAGAACTTTATGCTCATGTGAGGCAAAGACTTATTGCTTTAACCCGTATTCAATTCTTCACAGCTAATTTTTATGCTGGATTTATAACAGAGTTAACTCTTGGAATGGTGGAGTTTGAGGATGGACATACAAGTTGATGACAATTAACAAAATGTTCTTTATTGTGTAGGTTTGTATACGTTAGTAGCTCTGCCATTGGTCGAGTTAAAATTCATCTACTTTTATTAAAAACCATTGATGGCTAGCTCGTTCTTAGCACTCTACTTTTTTATGAGGATGGATCTATGTCACAGTGGGAGTAATGAGTATATTTCCAAGACATTTATACTTGTTTTTACCATAGAAAAGTTCAGTTCAAATGTATAGGATATGATAGTTTTTTAAGTATGTAATGGCTAAAATAATTTTAGACAACGAGAGTTGAAAATCAAAATATTATTTTTCCATTCGAGAGTCTAAAGGCGTTTGTTTATGCTATATTAGTTGGCTTTATATAGGATGTAGCGATGTAGAATTACTCGTTGTATAGGGTATGTATTATAATGTTCTTTAGAAAGGAGGATATATATGTTTAAAGCAAATACTCCACTTGATAACATAGAGGAAGTAGATTATGAAAGGAAGTCATAATCATGGCCTTTTATAAGAAATGACACTCTTCGGTTGTCTCTCCACCACACATTTAAAATGGCATAGATCCGATTTGCCTATTAATTATATGTCTAATTTTTTTTTATTACTCTATATGCATAAGCTTAACTTTAGTTTTGGTGCATATAGAATGGTGAATTATTTATCGCGTGCTCTAATATATCATACGTAATATGGCCTTTGATTTATTTCGTATAGAGTTGATAGTTTCGATAAAAGATACTACTCCGTATTCTACGAGTATGAATCTAGATATACTCCCTGTCCAGATTTATAATTTTAGGATATATCACATCCACTAATAATTCTTTGTATTTAGGGGCGGAAGGAGTGGTTCTTATCTTAAAAGAGAGGGCAAATTGAAAAGTTTGGCAGAACTAAACACTCCTCGAGTACTACATTTTCTTTCCTTCCTTTAGGCTGTGTTCGGAACTTTCGGTTCCCATCCTTACTCTTTCATTTTCCGCGCCCACGCTTTTCAAACTATTAAACGGTGCATTTTTTTAAAAAAAAAGTTTCTATACAAAAGTTGCTTAAAAAAATCAAATTAATCTATTTTTAAATAAAAAATTAACTAATACTTAATTAATCAAGCGCTAATAGACTGCTCTGTTTTCTGTGCGAGGAGATGAGTTTCCAACCAACTAGTAACGAACACAGCCTTAATGAGTTTACGTGGAAAAAGGAAAAACGAGAGGAGGTTGCTGCATCCAGGAACGAAAATCCACAGGTGGGCAGACCAGATCCAGCACGGCAGCAGTTGTACTTGTTCCCCCCGCACAAATTAGCTCGTGCCGTCGTGTGCAACCCAGGCCATCCCACGCAATCGGACACAGCACCGCACCGCATCGCATCCCCCGCGATCCCTTTTAGGCCCCTTGATTCACAGGAATTCTCAAGGATTTTAAATTTTTTCTATACAGCCCTTTGAATCGAAGAAATAAATTCTATAAAATCCTATAAAATTTCTATGTAATGTCTAATGCCATGTAAGTTTTGGAAGAAATCTAGCATGAGGTTCTACCTCATGGAAACTTTCCTATGAGTCTTCATCTTTTCTCTAATTCCTGCGTTTTTTCTGTGGTACAATCAAACGGAAACTCCTGTGTTTTTTCTGTGTTTTGCAATCCTCTGTTTTACACTTGTATTCCAGTCAGAATCCTACATTTTTCCTATTCCTCCGTTTTCCCATTCCTACGATTCAAAGGACCTTTATAGCAGATATAATAGCATATCATAAACCAACTATAAACATATTTTAAAGAAATAAACGAGAAGAGAGAAGAGTAGTTGGCTACAGATCTGTAGCCAACTGCAGCACGAACTTCAAGACGAAATATGTGTATGACAGATGGACCAGATATTAATATTATAGTAAATAACTATTGTATGAATTAGCTATTAAATTGGCTATATATGTTTAGTTGGCTATACTAATTACCATTCCTCTCCTCCCCCGTCCATTCCCACGCACGCGGCCTCCACCCCCCATATCAACCCAATCCCCATCCCCAACCCCAGTTGCTGCTTTTGCTTCGGTCACCCGGTCAGTGCTGCAGACAAGCCACCCCCTTCCTCGCGTAGACTGCTCCCCCCACAAACAAAAGCAATCCTAATCTCGGATTCGAGGCGAACGAGCGGCGGCGAGGGAGGGGGACTAGCGGCGATCGCGATTGGAGTCGGGTGGACACCGATCGCGGCGGCGCTCTGGGGGATCGGGGTGTGGAATCGAGGGGGAGGGAGGAGGAGACGGAGGCGATGGGGCGGCTGTTCGTGATGCACCTGGAAGGGAAGGTGTACAGCTGCAAGCACTGCCACACGCACCTCGGCCTCTCCTCCGACATCATCTCCAAGGTTCGCCTCTTCAGCCCCCTCCTTTCTTCTTCTTCTCGTTGTTGTTGTTGTTGTTGGCTAGCTTTGTTTGATTCGGCGAGCACGGCGGATGTGGGAGCGATTGTTTCATGGTTGCTGCTTTCCATTTCTTGCAGTCCTTCCATTGCAAGCACGGGAAGGCGTACCTCTTCAATAAGGTGTAAGTGGCCTCTCCTTCCCGGGCCTCATCTTGCCCTCGAATTTTTGTTCGCTCGTCAAACTTTAGGTAGCGTACGCCGGGAGATATGTGTGGAATTTGGGGGAAAATGGGAAATGCACTGTGCTTTCTTTTCTTGAGTCCTGGTTCGTCAGGCCACTAATTATACGTTTTACAAGGCGAGATTGAAAGCGATTTGTACTGCGGCCACACCTTGTTTGGGTTCAGACGCGGGTAGCCTAGCCAATTCCTTCCTAACACAATGAAAAATTTGAGAATTACGAATCTGTTTTAAGATTTGACTGCCTTCTTTGGTAGTACAAGTAACTTGAAACCGCTATTAGGATAAGGAAGATGGTAAACCAAGCAGACAGGGAATCCTCTAAATTGTAATTGCACTGGATTGTGCACAGGAGATCGCTGGGCGTATATTACGGTGACCAATAAATAGGCAATGGCCAAAACAGAAACCCGAATTCTCTTTGGAAAAAAAGTAAAGAGTCCAATAGACAAGGATTTGTGATAATTTACTCTCTTGTTATTCTACTCTTTTCGAGGAGTGGTGGATATGCGCTATGTTAGAGATGCTGGATGGATGGACACAAGACCTATCCCTTGCCTGCGCTTTGTTAATAGCTAAAGTTACACCACTTACTTGCATAGAATGACGCTCAATATGCTTGAAATTGATCTCCTATGCAATAATACAACCCCTATTAGAAGAAGTTGCGTTATAAGTCAAAGTTTGGCATGTGTGAAGTTGATATCGAACTGCATCCCTTGCAGCTAAAGCTACTTGCATACAACACAGTACTAAGAATAATTGTATGTGGAACTTCTGTAGTTATGATTCTATTTATTAATGAGTAAAGGTATGTGACAACTTCCCTAATTGCTTCACCACCAATCTGATGCCTAAGTTCATTATTGGAAAAAGGAATGATAGATGGGCACATTATCCACATATGGAAAAAGCATCCATTCCCTTTCCTATTATTGAACTCTTATTCAATATTGAAAACTTGCTTTTCTTGAAGTTAGATTTGGACTATTGAACAGCCAGTCAAGATCTCTGGTAATGTACACCAGCTGTCCTGGATAGACTTTAATAGAAGCTTACTACTAAGAGCAGACTAACCACCACTGTAATTTTCTATATACATGTCTCCATAGACTGCCATTTGTAGTCCAGTACCGGAAGGTACCAGTGTTGCTGTAGAATTCAGCTGCAGCAAAATAAATTTGTGGTTCTTTACCATTACAGGAAGATAACAGTTTTACGGTGTTATGTAAAGTTCACCATCATTCAGATCAATAAATGTAGTACTCCCTCCGTTCCATATTAGAAGTCATTTGACTTTTTCTTAGTTAAAGTTCTTTAGGTTTGACTAAGTTAATAGAAAAAATTAGCAATTTTCAACATTGAATATATTTTGATAATATGTTTGTTTTGTATTGAAACATGTTAGTACATTTTTCTATAAATTTAGTCAAGCTTAAAGAAGTTTGACTAGGAAAAAGTTAAACGACTTATAATATGAAACAAATGGAGTATTTGGTAGCCCTAGCAAATTAATGTCCTTGGTTGAAATATATCTCACTATTTGGTACAAATACAAAGTTGCATGATATAACTCTAGAGCATTCTACGAACCAAAAGTTTTTATAAGAGTAAAATATGCAGCCGGTCCTTAAACTTGGATCGGGGTGTCGTACAGATCCATGAAGTTGTAAAATGCACATTTAGGCCCATTCAAAGTTCAAAGTATAGATGGTGCAACTCAGGCACTGATATGGTTGTCCACGGTGGTGAGAATTTGCATTTAGGCCCCTCTACCACAGTATGCCTCTAAATTGGCTCCCGCTGCTCCCAGTTAAATCTTTTGGTGCATAACTTATACTATGAATCTCCAGAATACCAGGAAATACATGTTTGTTGATTTGTGGGTAGTGGAAGTCGATTTGGGGGCTATTATAGCAAAGGGGTTTAAATGGAAAAGTCTAGCTACCGTGGAGGTGTGGATAATCACATCAGCATCGAAGCTGCGTCATCTGCATTTTGGACCTTGGGTGATAGATTAAACCAAGATTGGGGATCAATCTAGATGTGCATTTTACAAGTTTACAGACATAGATGATACTCTGGTCCAAGTTTACGGACCGCCCATGTATTATACTCTTTTGATTAAGTCATGTTGGTTGTGGGCAGTGTCAATGTGACTTCTGGAGTAAAAGAGGATCGCATGATGATAACCGGAATGCATACTGTGTCTGATATCTTCTGTGTTGGCTGCGGATCCATTGTTGGATGGAAATATGTAAGATTTGTGATTATTTTATGTTGTCATATATGTTGTATTGCGTAGCATCTAAGTTTTATGGTGCCCCTACTCTAGGAAGCTGCACATGAGAAGAGCCAGAGGTACAAGGAAGGGAAATTTATTTTAGAGAGGTAATCCTCTTAACCTCATATATTGCTTTGCTGTGTTTCAACAAGCTCTACAATTTAACATTAAAGAGTTATGCATCAAGCCGCTTGCCCTTGTATTACTCTGGAATTCAAAACCATATCCCCTTTTTTCGCTAAGCAGGTATAAGGTGTCTGGTCCTGATGGCAGCCACTACTTTGTTACACATGATGCTCATGTTGGGGGAAGCGACGTGGACGACGTATGAAGCACAACTCGACATGCTCAAGCCTTATCCATGTAATCCATGTAAATAACCCAAGTGTTTGTTGGTCTTAGTTACCCGGGGATTTGCTTCCATTCAGAGCAACCCCAGCGTAATTGTTGTCCTAGATGACCTAATATCCTATCATCTTCCTTCAGGAGTTCAGGTTATTATTGGGTGTTACCGTCTGTATATGCATGTAACCAGTGATGCCTGTAGTAGCCCCCTAAAAGCTGTTGTAATCCTGGAATGTATCTCAGGCCCTAATGACTAAATAAAATTCTGCTTCTCAAGAATCTCTCTACATTATACGAGCGTTACATCCTTCAGGTGTTGGAACCAAAATCTGTATCTATTTGGTTCCAATACGCAGCTCTTCTTGACGTTGCTTTTCCTTGGATCGGTTAGTTCTGGCAGGCTATATGCAGTCTCATCGGTTCACATGCAACCGATTATAAATTGTAAGTAAAATTTTTTATTTATTTTCTTAGACCCATCTATCTTTCGAAAGCTGGCTCATCTTGAGCATCTCATTAGACCACATGGTGGTGATAAATTTTGAGATAAATCTAGAAAAACTATACATGAAAAATAGCCAAAAGAAAGAAAAACATAAATCCTATAGACTACCCAATTATCTATCATCTTTGATATAAATCTAGAATATCCATAAAAAAACCGAGAAGCAAACAAAATGCACACCATCCATGTTCTAGAGACTTCCCAAAATATCTTTTCGCTTTGCATCTATCTATCTATCTCATATTGGCTGGTTTAATGTCAGCTGATTGGCTACCCTCACCATCCATTAGTTGAGCGACACGTGGCGAGATACAATCGGTGGAAAGAGGCGAGATACAATCGGTGGAAAGAGCACCAGGTAAGAAACTCTCTCTCTCTCTATAAAAATGGTAAGAAACTCTCTCTCTATAAAAATGGCAAGCACGCAAGTTACTATGGTGAATTGTAAAAAAAAAGAGAGAGAGAAAAAAGCTCCTCCGTGTGTAGATGGGCCACACGGCACCACAATCCAACAGTGCGTGATCGGACCAATGCAAACACATAAAAAGGAGAAAAGAAAAATTAAAAAGATGAATTTTTTTTTGTAAAATTCTTTACAAATTATTTGGGACAAGTATCGTTACCACATATCATATGTTTCGAGAAACTAAAAATAATAGATAGAAAAACTAAATGACATAAACCATTTCATAAATATATTTATTTTTTTCTTATATTATAAAATAAATAGGCAAATAATATATAAATCTTTTAACTTCTAGAAAACACAACAATTATGATAAAACAAAAACTTATGCCGGTGTTAAATTCATATATAGGGTGAAGTATCTGTTGTAACGGTTGCTCATGACCTAGTGAAATTAGAAGAGAATAGTGAAATTAAAAGAGAAGGGAGTGTTAGTTAATAGAGTAAACATGTTTTATATAAAATAAAATAAACAAGTAGAATAAACATACTGCTTGTGGTACTCACTTAAATGATCAATAAAACATCATTCCCTGCATAATTTCTTACCGTATACATTTAGAACATCATATAGATAGTTTAGAGACTATAAGATTACAAGTCATGACTTTTTGTTAGAAAGATTTGGTGTGTGATAAACCAATAACCATACCTCCATCGAACAAAGAATGATTCCATTACGCTTAAAATATTAGCTGTAATAAAATAAAATTGAACAAATTAAACAGATGTAAAGAAGAAAATTAAAGGGAAACTTATCGATGATACTACAAGCAAGCATGTTCATCGCCATGCAAACAGTATAAGTGCACGAGTATTGATCAAATAAAGCAGAAGGAAAACGAAACTGTTGAGTGTGTATGTTTTAGTATGTGTGTTCGGCCCAAACAGACTAATATATTAAGCGTGCATATATTATGAACTGATCCTGGAACATTTGCTATTTTGTTTTTTATTGTTTTTTACATCTCACAATAAACTTCCTGGTTACTTTTCATTCATCATAGAGACTTCTGCAGGCTCTTAGCACATTATTTATAGAACCGTCATTAAATCTTGTGACGGAGAATTATTTCAACACAACCTCTAATAGTTGGTGTATTGATTTATCGGTTGATTAGATCTACCACTTAAATCGCAACCATTCTTTTACGCTTAATTAGCTATTCATAATATTTAGATTGCATCTTATGTTGTTCTTGAAGTGTTCTCTCGTTCTAAACTATAGCTTTCTATTTTTTTAGCGTTAAAATGTTAAAACGGTGTGTGTTTTTAAAATGGTTAATTGGATCCATACCACTGCAAATATGCCAATTAAAAAAATGCCAGTACTATTTAGCATATTGGCTATGTGCCACTCAAAACGGGAGAAATTAGAACCATGCCACTCCATCACATTTTCCGTCAAAAATCCCAATTAGCCCCAACCGCACATGGGCCCCACCTTCCTCCCCTCTCTTCTCTTTCCCCTTCCCCTCTCTCTCCACCACTGTAGATGCAGCAGGAACACCCTTCGCCGTCGTCTCGGAGTTGCAATTCCCCCTCGTTGATCTCGCTGCGATGTCGAGGCTGGGCGAGCTCGGCGCCGAGCGCGGCGTCCACGCGCAGTAGGTGTCGGTGGAGGGCGCTGCCGTGGAGGCAGGCTCTGCCACATCGCCAGGTGAGAGGTCGAGGAAGTTGCGGTCGAACACCGGGTACGCAGGCACGATGCGGCCGTGCGCGAAGATGTCGTCGGCCGGCACCAACTTGGCCGCTGATACCGGCGGCGCGAACGCGAAGTCGAGGTCGAAGTCGGACCCGGCACCCTCCGCGTCACCGACGTCGGACGCGGGCGTGACCTCATCTCGACGTCATCGGCGCCGCGGCCGAAGCTGGTTAGCGTGTGGAGGCTGCGTGGCGACTGCGCCATCGCGGTGGCGGCTGCGGCGCAGGGTGGCATCACGTCGTGTTCCCCTCCACGCGCCCTCCGCGGCGGGATTGGTGGCACCCATGGTTTTAATAGGATCTAGTTCATTTGTTCGTCATCTCTCAATCTTTGTATACCTTCCCAATCGTACTCAGTGCCCACAGGGTACCTGGCAAGCGCAGCAGGGTTTTCAGAGAGCAACTCAACCTGCGAGCAGGAAGAAAACAAGGCATGAGATGAGACACAAGAAGCTCGATCGGAAACAAAGGAGAAGTGCACCTACGAGTCCGACACAAGATGCTCGATCGTTGGTGGCAGTGGCAAGGACCAGCGAGTCCGAGGTGGAGGGCTCGCCGGCGTCCATGGCGGAGAAGCGAATGAAGTGGGAAAGAGATGACGGAGGTGATAGAAAACTGGACGGGAGTGGCATGGTTCCAATTTTCCCATATTCCAGTGGCACATAACCGATATGCTGAATAGTAGTGGTATTTTTTAAGTTGGCATATTTGCAGTGGTATGAATACAATTAACCCTTTTTAAAAACCTTTTATATGAAAGTTTTTTAAAAGTTCAAATAAATCTATTTTAAGCTTATAATAATTAATTAATCATAAGTTAATTAATTGCTCTGGTTTCCGCACTATTTAAAAGGTCAGTTGATCTGCGTGAACGAACACAACCTTAGTGACTTAAAGACCAATAAATTATGATAAAATTATTTATAAAATATTTTTTAAATTTCAACTTTTAGCTACAACAGATAAGCTGATCTGGGCCGCCACCAATCCAGCCCAAATCCCTGGAATCAGCATGATGCGCTAGGGAATGATAGTTATATGTACTACATCACGTCAGAAGCGGAAAGGATTCGATGAGGGGCAAGACCACCATGTCCTTGCCGAACTTGCCGGGCATATGATGTTTACTCCACACAACCAAGTTGGTTGCTCTTCTGATTGTGGTGCCTAACTCCAATACCTATCTCTCTCTAAAGAAACACTCTATTTGAGTAGCTTAAAATTCCGAGGAGTTGATAGTTGGTAGACAACTTCTAAGAATCTAAAATAGCTGAATTTCCTAGATTTTAGGTTTTAGTTTATTTTGTGGATATAGACGGAAAACTAGGCTAATTGAGAAAACTTTTGATTTTGGAAGAAGATGTAGCTGCTAGAAGATCCCTGAGGCTATGATTCATATGGTACTAGCTTGGGGTCTTTGCTTGCATTGGTAGGGCATGCATGTTTCTGAAATGTTGATGATTAAAAGAGACCTGCCAGAGAAACTGATTGGAGAGCAGCATTGGTGGGGGGTTGTTTTTCACCTTGCTACCTAGTCCATCCAACTAGGATTAGTAGCCGAGTTGCAATAGCAAATTGCCCTGTGATTATAAACAAAATTATCCGTGTCACCGGTCGCTCAGGATAACCGAAATCTCTAGCCTGCGCACATGACCCCGTTGTGGCTGGCTTAGCTATACCGTTGCGGAAACACGTGCGCTGCCATGGGTCTTGGGTTATTGTCTCAATCCTACGCTATCAGCATCTCTTCCGCTAATCTCTAACTAATCTAATCTAACAGAAAGGCAGAGAGACTGTTCGCAGCATACAACACCACTGGCTATCTGGCGCACCTGATCAAGAAGAATATTAGTACTCTCCTACTCCAGCCAGCAGTAGCCCGCAGTTTGTGAGAGTTTTGTGTCAACACAGTGCCGCTGTCTGGGTGCGGGCAGGACATGATGACCTCAACTCCTCAAGTAGCACGGCCGGCCCTGCCTGCCTGCCACGCACGGCAGCTCCGCTCTTCCCTGGGATAGGCAGGCCAGCGGCCGGGCCACGCTCTCGTGGTAGGCCAGTGTCGCACTCGCACAAGCAAATAGTAAAGCGAAGCAAAGCAAACCGAGCAGGCAAACTCCCCAATCAATTGCCAACCGAATTTCGAGCAGGTTCGGCTTTTGCTCGGCACCAATCGCTGCATGTGTGCGTGCCAACCCCAAACGCAGCAGCAGCAGCTCGCGGACCCCCGGAGACCGTGATATCCTCGGCCGCCATCGCGCGCGCGACGGAATTTCGCACCGCGCGCCAGGATGGATGAACCGCCACACCACACCACACGGCCACCGCCTGCCGGGCGCGCGGGGCGCCTGTCCACGCCCACGCTACAGGAGTTTGCCGATCGCGCCCAAATCCCCCGCTGGACCACGCGCGTTTTTACGTGCGCCGTACGCGCGCCCCACGCCGACACAAACACACACACACCCCGGCTCGCGCCAAACCAACCGTGGCGCCACCCCCTTCCCCCTTGCGGTGAAAAAACACCGGGGACGCGGATGCGGACACGCGACAGATGCGTCCGCGTCGGAAATTTCGAGAAGTCGAGCGAGAGCGAGAGCGGACGAGACCCCGCCGCGAAAGGGACGCGCACTCATGGCGTCTCCTCTCATCATCTCATGTCATGGGTGGTAGGAGCGATCGGTCTCGTGGTGTTGCGCCGGCGGCTTTGGCTTGGCTCGGACCGATCTGCACGCGGCGGCAGAGGCCGTGGTCGAGTCGTGGAGTCGCCTCGGGAAGCGGCGGTGGGGGGGCTTGTGTGGGCCGGTTTGTTGCTACGGTTTTTTACGTACTCCAGTAGTCGTCGTCGTGGTCGCCGACCGGGCACTGGTGCGATGCCTGGACGGGGTCGCTATCAGATTTTCCCCACTAGCGTAGATCGTTCGCGCGATACGCTTCTTTGTGCCGGAGTGGTTAACCTTTTGCCATGTAAAACTACTAAGCTTGGGTAAGGTTTGGTAAACTGATATGGTACTTTATTAGTGAGAGATTTATGGATATTTTGTTATGTGTGTGTGTATATGGGTGGTCTAGCTGGAAGTACTTCCTTTTGACAGCTTCTCAACTCAAGCGGCACGAGCTTCACCGGAGTAGATGAGATGCTACTGTTTGTCTGAGAAAGAAGAGAAAACTATGGTGGCTCGAGGAGTGTACTTGATTTGACAACACGCCTGCCGGTACATTTTCTGCTGGAAAAGAGGTTTATTTGACATTTTCTTTGAGAAAAATGGTCAGATCTGCTTAAACATCCTTTGTGAAGGACATCAAAGATCTGTGCCTAATTTCTGCTGTCATGGAAATTAATGCGCAAATGAATCAACTGACTCTCAACTTTTTTGAGGAATGATTCGGTTTCCCATGCCTAACTTCAAATATAGAAACTGCCTTTTTCAAAGATTTGTGTTCCCTTTGATATAGCGTAAAATTAATCCATATCATTACAAAATCCGTCCTACTAGAAAAAAAAATCATTACTATTAACGAAAACTGTAGCGGGAAGGAGGAGGATACAACTGCTGCTCAATATCGATAGTACAACGAGCATGCAACAGTGGCGGCCGACGTAGAAGGGGGAGGATGTGCAACGACAGCGAGCTCGACATGGCGGTGGCCAAATCTCGGAGATGGCAAGTCCGGCAACGGTTTTTACCACAGCACAAGCATATTTACCGGTGCCGTTGAGCTCATCAATGTGCTAACGAGGTCTCCGAACGGTGGCAAGCTCGTCGCAGCACCATTGATGTTTTTTTTTTCCTCTCTATAGTTTGGAGGAGAAGATGCCTGGAAACGTGACAACGATAATTCAAATTTTAGGAGTTTTCACTGGCACACAACATGTTTAGCGAATAGTAGTGATATTTTTCTAATACAGTAAATTTATAGTTCCTAGAAAAAATATCCGTGCGTTGCAACGGATAAATGCTATTTTAATTTTATAATTGTTATAAGGTTTAGTTAGGTAAAATTCACAGTGAGAATTCGCTTGAATATTTTTTTAGGAAATCGTGAGCTGCAATTAGTAGTCCGTATTTCATCTAAAGTTAGCATGAGTTTTTTTTTAAAAAAAATGATTTGTTATACGACTCCTTTTGTATTTCCAAAAACAAACGAGCATAAAATCCAACTCAAACACATACATGTATTTTCAAAAGTGAACGAACTTAAAAACCAACTCAAATGCGGATGACGTACCAAAATACTGGTAAAAGCATCTTTAATTTCTATAATAGTATATATATGAATCAAATTTATCTTTGATATTAAATATAAACGGGAAGTTTCTGTATGAAAAATAGACTTTTAGTTTTGGTGTTCACTTAATCGATACCATAAGAATTAATAATACACTTTTAAGTTTTTAACCAAATCTTTACTCTTCTCGTCTAGTCAACTCATACAACATATCCACAGGCAACATCTGTGTTTAATAAGAGTTTTGTAAGAAAAAAAAATAATACATATAGCATTCTTCATATCCCAAATTAAAATGGCTATCAACACTGTGCAATAATACGTTCAATTGCTGTAAACGACAAGGTTGTACCCAACCCCTTTAAAAAGCGAATAGGTGATAATAACCTCTTCCTACAAAATGTAGTACTACTACCAAACTTTCTTCATATTTCTAGTACTCATACTAGAAAAACTTTGGTAACTAACTAATTAATTAATTAATTAAGGATATTCTATGTGCCTAGCACTGTTAACCCGTTTTTTGTTTTTTCACTCCCTGTTTAACCACAGTCCCACACCCGCCGGTTATAATTGCTGCGGATAGAGATAGAGGGAGAAAGAGAGTGCGTACTGCGGGAACTCCGAAAGTCTCCACACCCACCACTCGCTTTCTCTCTCATCACTTTCCCCTTTTTTTACTGCCCCCCTTCTTCCCCCACCCCCTCTCGCTCTCTCTCGCTTCCGCGCCCCATGCTTCTCCTCCCCCAGCAATCGCGAGAAGCAGGCTAGATCAGGGCGCGCGGTCTTTGCCTTCTCCCCCGAACGCCTCGGCAAGCGAGAGGCGCGCGCCGTTCTTGGTTGGGAGGTTTGTGGGATTCTTTTATTTGTTTTTATAGCGGGATCTTTGGTGCTTTCTCCCCCCCCCCCCCCCCCGATTTGCCTCGCCATGGGGGCTGCGGAGATCTTCGGGCCGATTCGGTCGATGCTGGCGTGGTGAGATGGTTTGCCGCATCGCGAGCTGCTGCTGCTGCTGCGAGGTTATTAAGGTCAGTTTGGGGCTTTCCCTTTTCTGCTCCCTCCGATCTAGCGGGTGGTGTTTTTTTTGCTTTGCGTTTCTTGGCTCGGTGGAGGTCTCATGATCTAAGGGGAAGATTTGGGGTTTTGGGGAGGAGATTTTTGGTGGGGTTTTGGGGGGATTTGTTTGCGTGTTTACGCTTCCATTTTTGTAGCGTCGGTTCTGGTTATGTGCATCCGATTCGGTTGGTTTCTAGTCCATTTCTTGTGCTGTTTTTGGACTCCCTTGACTGGTTTCTTGACTGATGTTTTTGCTGATGGCTTCAGTTCTTCCGATCCGACAAGCCCCGATGAACGGCACGCCGATCTCCGCGTCCGCCGCGGCCGGCGTCGACG